GCCCCAGCCCCCCCCGCCCCGGCGGTGGGAGCAGTGGTAAGAGTTGCCCCCCCCCACCCCCCCCTCTTCCGCCTGCTGGGCAGTCCCTGTCCCAGCCCCAGCCCCAATCCCTACCTCTCTGCGGGGGCATTGATCTGCCCTCCCACACCCCACCACAACATACTTATCAGCCGGAGGCAGCTGTGTTGTAAAGTCGAAACCCGGTCGGAACCTTGAAACGGTGTTGCAATTTACAAAGGTTGTAAGTGCCATTTGTCATAACTCGAACAGTTGTAAGTCGAGGACTGCCTGTATAAGAGAAACATTTGTACATAATAAAGTGTCTTTCTTCAGAGCATTATTCCAGTTTTTGAAATGAATATGTAATCCTTTTCTTAATCAAATGAGTATTTCCTTTGCATAGACAGTCTTTTTGATTTCCATGCTTGATTGATGAGTTCACTGTATCTTGAAGTAATAGTCATTTTCTAAGACATTTGTGGTATCACAGCTTCTTCACAAAATATAAAAATGATTTAATTAACATTTGAATAAAAGTATTCAGTAGGGTTTACTTAATGCTGTATTTGATAAAGTTGTTATGAGGAGCAAGTTTTGAAGACTTGATCCTGCAAAGGTGAATTTTGTTGCAGTAAAGGTGGAGCAAGAAGGTTGGGTCAGATCAGGCTGATCAGAAATGAGGTATCCATAACACTGCTGGCTGGATGCCTAGCCTGAGTTTAGTTAGCGTATTTGACACACCCATGAGGACGAGGTTGAGGGTGCAAAATAGGAAATGATTTTTTAAACACCAGGGAATAAAGTATAAGGGAAATGAAACAGTAACAACAGTAATAACGCACGCAGTAATACAGAGCAGGGTGATACTTTGCTAAATGTAATACAGAAGAACATAGTGAATGGTAAGCAACAGCAATTGAAATCCAGAAGAACAAATCAAGTGGAGACAGTCTGAGATCAGAACCGGTGAATTTTAAATAAGAAGTCCAATTGGATAGGAGGTCACCATTGGAATGGGGTGTTTGTAATAGTATCACTGCTCAGTCTTTCACAGGAGGCATGTATACTACTCCACGCAGCTCCAGATGCAGCCAGATATAGCAGTCCATAAACCACCAAGCCACACAGGAACAGATCACCAAAGACTGCCACAGACTTGCACACCACTAAGTTACACTTGCAGAAGGCACTTAAACACAAATGATTCAGATGGTGAGTTTTTATTCCCCAAAATTACACTGCTTACTCGCATCCAATCATTCTGGGTCAAGGCCCTTTCGATCCCTGCCCATCAAACATCTGCTAAGTCACCTTCACTCGCACTGGATACATTTACCTGCCAGTCGCAACAATCTCTCACCTTTACTATACTTCCCTGCCAAGCATTCTGTCTTGACTGCATATGCCCAACTCTGCTGATTGGGACAGCAGTTCAAAAGGTCAGATCCTTCTAGCCTTGTAGCTTCTGTGTGTGCTTGTAACTTATAACCATTACATCTTTTAACTATTTATAAGCAGGGACTAAAGCTTTCTGGCTACATAGTAACAGCCATCATTTCAAGTGCAGTAAATCAAAGGAAAGAGCATGGTTCTGAACAATTTATTTTCAGGGCTAACTAGAACACACTTCAGTACTGGAGTTGTATAAAAAAAGACTGAAATGTATGCAATTTAAAACCTTGTATTTACTTTTGCTTTTTTGAAAAATGGAGAAATAGACCAGAAGACAACCTTAGTTGATCATCTTAACTAGTGGTGGCCAACCTGTGGCGTGCCTGCCACAGGCAGCCTCTGTGTATGGCCACAGCAGACCAGGAGGAGATGGGCAGCGTAGTGGCAGATAGAGCAGAAAACAGTGCAGCAAATTGGGCAGGAAGCAGAAAGCAAAGCAGCAGATCAGGCAGGGAGCACAAGATGGGGAGCAGAAAAAAAGGGCCCAGTGTAGAAGGGGATTGGAGTGTTATGTCCAGGATTTTGTGTGGGAG